AGTATTCAAGCACTAAGCAGAGGCGAACCAGTCAGACCTGATAGATTCCTTTTTATTTTTTTCGAAATATATTATAGGTGGTAGGCGGCTCTGCCGTCGCCCGGTTCACTACTACTCCATGTTTCAGGATCATGGTTGCTGGTTTCCTCACAACATAAAACATGACAGCACAAAATCACAAACGATCACATTCCCTCGCTCGCTCTACGCACTCACACTAGAATCATGCACTCATCACCCTCACCAACATGCGCGAACTGAACTGCAATATTGATTCTGTACACCATTCTTCTCCGGTCGTCCTTTTTTTGACCGAAACACAAATCTCCCCCTTGTCAGACACCACCCACCTTCAATTCACCAACTGCACTCTCCATTCCTCCTTTCTACCAAAAGCTGGTGTCTGCGCCTTTATTCACCAATCAGTCGCCGCCTCCAGGATCAAAGATCATCGATTGTGCACAGTTTGACGTCTGCAGGATGAAGCGAGCTAATAAGGCACATCGAGGTTAGAAGTCATATATTCGATTGTCCTTCGGTGGAAAATTTGCTGTAACACCAATTTAAGATTTTCAGACTTCACTGCTTAGAATATTTGATGCGCATGTTCACTGTTCTACCAAACCAAATCTTGTTTGTAGTGTCTGCTCCAGAGGGGGGAGAAGCCACAGATAGCTTTAACCTTGAGTTTGAAATCAAATGTTTACTACAATATTTGTCAAGACGCGGTCGCGAATTTCGAATGAAATTAAATCTTTTGAAGTCGATCCAACGGTCAGCAAGTAATCGCTTAGGAACTGTAGTGTCTAACCAGGTGCAGTGTACGATTGAACTTTCAGATAAAGGTAAACTGACCTCGTCACGAGGATCAAGCAGAACTAGGCCACCTATGCCATATTGTTTGTTCTGGGAATCGTATTACTAGTTCATTGCTTTTGATGACCTTTTGTGATTCACCGCTATTTTTCCTAATCACAGCGACTTTTCGTCCACTGTTTGTCCGTTGCTCTTCCTGCAAGCTCTTTTTGCCTGTTTTATCTTTTAGTGCACTCTCGCCCACTTAACCATGTTCATTGTCAGATTTTCATCTTTCTGTGTCGCACTGGAAATATTGTTTTACCTTTTCCTAACCGAACTTAAAATTTTCGCTCTGTAATGGCTACTTCAGATTACTTCTTCCGTATGGAATTATCACGTACTCTAACTTCCAATCCGCGTCTAATCGTTTTCAGGTCGGCTGTTGTTTGGTGGTTATAGTGATCACGCAATAAATGTGTGGGACGTGTTGAAAGGTCAACGTGTGAATATCCTATACGGCCATGAAAACAGAATATCCTCACTGCGCACCAGTCCGGACGGAACGGCCATTTGTACGGGCAGTTGGGATACAACTGTTCGAGTGAGTTGCTTTCATCCACACTGTGTCAATCGGAGTGCCCGGCATTCCTCTTGGTCTCATTTACTGGTCGCATTGCTCTAAATAGCTTTTCACCCTTCCGTATTTTCTCCTTGTTGGTGTGTCTGCATGGGTGTTTGGAAATCTAGACGTCACACAGGTGAGCTCTAGTAAGCTAATAGGTGATCCCGGGCTAAGAACGAAATCTATCGACGTGGTAGGCAATATCTGCACCAGAAGCTACCAATGTCCCGGAAAACACCATGAAGTACGCGGAACCAATTAGTCCTCCATTCAATAAGACTATCACAGTCACTGTGTCGCTCTACAGGCCGCGTTTGACTGAGCAAGGGTGAGAATCGTATCAACGACGACAAAAGCTGATTGTTGCTGAGGCTATCATCCTGGACCACATTCCCGTGATTCGTCGAGATTTCATTCACGAAGTGAATTTATCCTTACCTAGATATCATTCGCCTAAAAATAACGGCAGGAAATGATTGCAAGATCCAGTGGAAGGCTTAAACAGGGACGTTGATCAGTGACTTACTTTGTGTTAGGTTTCGTACTTGGAATCCTTAGGATCGATCCAATAGACGTTTAGAGATAGGAAGTCCAATAGATGTGTCATAAGCAGTCGTGTCCGTATATCCACATCCCCTTGACTTCGACTTTTTGACTCAATCTTCGCTAATGATGCAATAATCTACTCTTCTAATATAATTCAATCATTGGTTGATACATCATAGTAATTGAATCCCTAAAAGCGATTATTTATTTCTCTATTTTTCATATAATATCTTCATGGCTTGATGCATAACATAAACTAAAAACAAACCTCATTTCTGGTTGTTGTATGCACAGAATAAAAGTAAATAGAATTGCTTATCTATCTTTGGCCATTCACCCGGGGTGTCGGACTCAAGTGGCGCTATCTCTGTATGATTAGTTTGTTCAACTCCTTGTGGCATCACCCAGAAAAAGTAAATTTAGTAATAATCGCAATGATCTGAAAAGTACTTAGTTGTTCAAGGTAGGTTTTTTGACAGATTAAAGTGTCTTGTTCAAATCTTGAAATGTTCAGTAACCCCAATTGGTGATCCCAATGTGTAAAGATTATATCTATCGATGTGGCCTCGTAGCTCAGCTGCGCAAAATCACAGGTGGCTTCCCTACGTGGGTTCGAATCCCACTGGGGCTACTCGTCTTCTCACAATCATAACAAAATCTCTTACTGCGTCGTTGCAGAAGCTCGATCAATACGTTGTTGTTACATTGCTGTCTCGAATAACGAGTTTCTTACGGTATAACATATCGAACACGCGATTAAAACGCAGTTTCGAATTGTTTGACGCACCTTTATTTCTGAGTTACACAACTTGCCGAGGTTCGGGAACCCCATTCAAATCTTGATGTCTGTTTTTGGTTTATTACATTTCGTATACTTATATTACACCACTACTCACAATTACCTGAATTACATACGAACTCGATACTTTGTTTTTATGAGGTATCCTTATGTTAGTTACCCTGATACAGTCCATCAGCTAACCCCAGTCTCGTTCCAACCACTTACAGATCTGGGCTTGAAATCACACTTGGCGCAGCAAACCAGTTCCTTGCACATTCACTGACACCCACCCTCAGTGTTGTATGTATCGCTGTTTACACTTTTCCCGCCACGACTCCACGTTTCACTAGCTCCTTCGTTCACCACCACCCCTCCCCTTCGTTGCAAAGCATTTAACAACTGCAAGTGGCTTCTGTATCCACGGCAGTATGTATCATGTGCAATATCATCTTCACTTTGCATATTTGTTGAGAGATCATTTCTTTTGAGCTTTGGCTCTTCTTTATCATTTGACTTGTTATTCTGTTGTGCTTATCTCTCTGTTCGTCACTTAGAAAATCATACTTTTATCTTACAAATGTATTTGGTTCACCATTAAATTTCTTTTGTTTTGCATTCGTACTATACGTGCGCCAAATCTGGGCTACTCAATCATCCACCCGATGACTATTGAGCATTCAGTCGCACCGCCCTATGGTGGTGAATATTTATTTATGATCTTTTATGGCTAATGCGTCCGGGGATCGTAGTAGTTTGAGCAGCACGTTAATATCACATGGGGGCGCACTTCACTCTTCGAAGGTACTGCTCCATGCACATAGTTTGGCTAGGAAAACGCATAATTCAAGGGTGTTCTCTCCTACGGTCATACCTGGCGAACTTCTGTGTCGTCCTGCGGGACACTACGCTAATCCTGAGGGTTTCTTATCTTTTTCGGTTTCAGTGCTTAGTTCACCGGATATCGTAAGTGAACACTAGGTCATCGTGAGTATGCGGTTATTCTCTTTGGTTGAGCACCATGGTGTTATTTAATGGTAACTTCAAAAAGCTTGCATTGCGTTACCGACTTCCTGGCCCTGGCTCCTGGCATGCCATCATCGCATTTTCGCGACCTACCGCTCGTACACTATTTCCGAAACAGTTGAAATTTCCCCTGCGTCTGTTCAAATTGATGTCAGGTCTTGTGTACGTGGTAATGCATTCCACATTCTCAGTTCTATAGTTCCCACCGACCACATACTTCCTTCTGTTTATCCAATTCACCTCTCTGCTAAAAAAACGGTCAAATTTATGGCTCACATTGAAAACCCAAGGTGTGCTCGAGTATTTCGTTTTAGCTTGTGGCCTAACACGAGCTCTTCCGGGCGATTTTTTCAGATTTAATTCACCAACATCATCTGCATTCTGTTTCGATGACTTACCTCGTGGTCGAGCCAATGTGGGTGGGTCGTTCAGCTGTTCGCCCACGTATTTACGAGTATCAATCAACATGTATTTTTCTATTGTTTACAAACCAACTCACTACCCGGTTAGAGCTTGCGCTCGAGAACACATGCTTAGTTCATCACAAGGTTATCGAAACGCGTAAAACGTGTGACCCCGGTAGATGTAAGTTTAAATTGGTTTCGCGCTCGGCTCGATCCATAATGATACCGGTTAGCTACTTTTGAGTGTTGTAACTTCACTGTTAGCTTGCTTGAAGTCCAGAGAGATTGTATCATGTTCCGTTCATCGGTTTTCCTCTCTTGTCCGTTAGACGGTAGTGAGCATAAATGTTAGATCATTCATCTTAGCTAACCTTTAACCAGTTATTTACAAATTAACCAAAAGAAGTATGCACTCTATGGTTTTTGAGTGAATTTTTGTCGTTTGATCTAATCCGATGTGATTGGTCATCCATAACTGAAATTAAAATCGATTGTTTGGGTCTCTTACTCGTGTTCCGATTCCGCGAATTTTCGTTTTCAAGCCCTCTTAGATGTAGCGTTTAGTTCGCGGGATCCAGGACTAATTACTTTTTCATACAATGTTAGTCTTTGTATTCCCGCTACATTGTGCTTAGTATTCCTCGAACCGCATTACTTCCTCATCGTTTTTGCGCATCTGGGTGGCTCGTGGCACTGAAGCACTTATCAGAACGGGATTTATTGTTGATCGAAAATTGGTGTGAATTTTGGAACACCAACCTCATTCAAAAATTAGCAGTTATGATACCGTCTGATCCATGAGTGTAATTTATCCCAGTGGGATGTCTGGGCTACTGTTTTCAAAAAACATGGTCATGGTGTTCTAAATTCCTGTTGTGGGTCTTATGGTGCTCCTTTCTTTTTGCCTCAAAGCCTGCTGTTATATCTCCTTCCAGTAAATCAAACCGGTGCATTCTATTTTTGAGAGAATTGAGATGGCCACTCAGTACATGAGATGGAAAACTGTGTTGGTGGGGTTCACTCACCGTTCAAGGGGTTGTATTTATTCCAATCACTTGATCACCGGTTTGAAACAAACAAGGAGTTTCCATGGTACAAAATTAAGGAAACAGGTATAAACACGGTGGGGAGGGTGTTCCAATTCCAAGACGATGCTTTATTGACCTACCGTGTCACCAGATGCCAAACCAATCAGTAGATTCATGTGACGGTTTGTCACGTGAAGGTGAAGGCTGTACGCTATATAGGAAGGTTTTGTGATAAACTTGTAAGCAGCTCGTTCCTCAACGCTCGATTTCTCTATCTGGTGTAGAGCTTGTGCACCTTTGAGGACTGTTCGGACATTTAAATTATCAGGTGTCACTTTTCAGAAAATCCAAAGGAAAGCGGTCAATGTGTTCGTTTATGGTGTAGGCCGTTGTAGTTCGCAGTTGCAAAACTCCTAGTTTGCGGTTTTCACTTTTAGGTAGCTTCACACGATATGGTTTACACTTTCAATGTGTCATTGTACCATTGTTATGGGCAATAAAATGCATCTCGGTCTGTCTCGGAAAGCTTACATCGAATGCGCTCGCGGCGACCGAAAGCGTTTTTTTTATTGATTTGTCTTGTCTTAATTAAAAAAAAAACAGGTGACATTGCAGAAAATGTCAGGGCATTCAATAATGTTTCTCAGTAATTTTATGCTGATTGGCCTGCAGTTACCAAGAGGTTTTAATTCGCATTGTATGTGCACGCGGTGTTCACAGGCAAACGTACAGCTCAAAGTCATCTTCCTAAGCCGGTCTGGTATTACAAATGCCGAGGGTGGTGTTCCGCAGATGAATGAATGGAACCAAGGAGGATGATTCAAATGCACAAAATGATGCCTGTTTGTAAATCTTCCAGTGACTCAAATTTGAGCAAAATTTTCCAACCATTTGTTATTGTGATATCCTAAACGAAAAGAATGTTATCCACTCACCCAGCTGTTCACGCTCAGAGCCTTTCATCCGAAGGGAATGACCCGTTCCATTTCTGACAAACGTGTTTGAAGTTGGTCTTGCATGCTCCCGGTACGCCTGTTTGATATCTGTTTAGTGCTTTATTAGCGGTTTCAGTGAACCCTGAAAGGTTCACATCCCGGTTGCTATCCGTCCGGTGCACGCCCATTTCATCAGTTTAATTTACCCTGAATGGTGCAATGGAGCATTGAATGCACTCGAGATTTCCCATTTATGTATGCTTTGACGATATCAAAAAAGTGTTTCTATCCGATCTGGATGGGTGCGGTAGAAAACAAAATTCTGGCAGAATTATCACCGATA